TCTCTCTCTCTCTCTCTCTCTCTCTCTCTCTCTCTCTCTCTGTCTCTCTCTTTCTTCTTCTCTCTCTCTCTGTCTCTCTCGCTGTGTCTGTCTCTGTCTCTGTCGCTGTGTCTCTCTCTCTTTCTTTCTTTCTTTCTCTCTCTCTCACGCTCTCTCTATTTCTTTCTTTCTTTCTTTCTCTCTCTCTCACGCTCTCTCTCTTTCTTTCTTTCTCTCTCTCTCACGCTCTCTCTCTCTCTCTTTCTTCCTTTCTTTCTGTTTTTCTCTCTCTCTCTCTCCTACATGTACCCGGATGTCGCATGATGCTGCGGTTATATATATATGTAACCTAGGACAGTACGGACGGGAACGCCAAACGGTTAAGTTACTGTCCGGCCACCGGTCGAGTACGGGACGGAGCTTACGTACATGGTACGACTGACCTAGTGGAGGGGGAACAAAAGCAGCATAACAATAAACAAAGGGAGACGGCAGGTACGCCCAGTGACCGAAGAAGGGGAGGTCAGCGTTGGTAGAAACGTAGCATAAATAAGCAGAGAATTGAATAGAGAGGGATATAGAGTGTACTGGGACCAGTCGTGCCGACGCTAAGCAAGACTCCTCCGACGAGATGGCATTCATGTAAATATGGTTACTTCTTTGTTTGATAGTTAGATTGTATGCATAGTTTAGATCATTGTGATTATGTGTAAGAGCGAGTACGGCGTTACAGTGATGCGGTGAAGGGATACGCGTTAACATAGTATGGATATATACGTCGCGGGGTAAACTCGTACCGCGGTTATATCCGTTGCCTGTAGGCAACGCAGATTAAGCTAGTAGTAATATCAACGAAGGTAGTCACGACGCTGGTGGGTGGCGTCAGGTAGTTTATATAAATGACGACTTTATAACTAATAGGGGGTTGAGATTGAATCGTGCGGTGCTGGGAGTAAAGTGTTTAATAAAGATTATGCGTGTGCGTATCATATAAATTACTGTGTTGCGTTGTATATCACGGACTGGTTTTTTATATCCTCGACTGGTTTATTCCTTCGCAAGGTATTAAAACATAAATACGATCACGCCGTCGCGCGGG